TTTTTTTATCGTATATATGGGAAAAAATTGAATCACAAAATATGAAAAACTGCTAGTAATGTTTTACTATGCTGCTACTATACTGCAGTCAATTTTCAAGTTTTCTGGATCACAGTCAAACCGAGAGTGCAGTCTTTCACACAAGCATTTAACGTGATCATTCTGGGACAATGAGATGTTTCGAATGGATTCATTATCGTGCAGCAGCCCTAAAAATAATCCTTAATGATGATTCTGAGCTCAGAGAATTTGTTGGCTCTGTCGAGGCGGGAAAGAAAGGAGGAGAGAGATCTCCGCATCGCATTTCGGCTCTGATGAAACATTGATGAGCTGATTGCATGCGCTGTCTGTCTGGGTCGCCGGGAATCCCCAGGAGTGGGTTATTGATGAGATTTCACTCTCGACATTTCTGGGCCCAGCCTCCAATCTGATTAGAGCAACTTTGTTTATTACCGTCTAGATAATCACAGATAATCACAGACTTTAAGTAAACAACTGATATCAGCACTGGCTGGCTGTATGGGTAACTGGGGGGAAAAGATTCAAATAAGTCATTGAGTCATGACAACCAAACATACACAACTGCCTCACTGCAATTGAGTGGATTTTCTGTGAATATAAAGAATATATTTGTTATTACAAAAAGCCAAACGTTCTTCAGTGTGTGGGTGTACATTTAGCATGCAAAAGTGCATGATTAAAACAAGTTGTTTTGTTGAAGTGGCTGTATCATAGTCATTTTAGATTTATTTATTTTTTTAAAGTTTGAGGTAGTTGTAAGAAATGTTAATCTTTTTATTTAGAAAGCACACATTAAATTGATCAAAAGTGATAGCAAAGACATTTACAATGTGACTGCAGATGTTATAAACACAACAGCTACTTAACATCTTTAATTAAAGAATCACATCACAGTTTTCACAAAAACATGAAGCAATGAAAATATCTAGTGCTGGACAAAGATTAATTGCAAGTTATCGCATCCCAAAAAAAATTCCCAAAATTATGTTTGTACATACTGTATGTGCATTTACTGTCTATATTTATTGTTTGTATATATGTGTGTGTGTACGTGTTTTTGTGACATATCAGGACACAAATCTGTATAATGGCATGGGTATGACACAGGTATTACAAAAAGGAGGTGAATTATGAGGACATTGGTGATGTCCTCATTTCTTAAAAAGCTTATAAATCCTACAGAATGAGTTTAATCAGAGAGTAAAGCTGCACACTGTCTCCTGTGATGGTTGGGTTTAGGGGTGGAGTGGGTAGAGGGCAATATAATATATGGTTTGGACAGTTTAAAGTGAACGGAAACCTATGTAATGTCCCCACTTTTCACAAAAACAAACATATGTGTGTGTGTGTGTGTGTGTATATATATATATATATATATAAATAAAAATATAAACACACATGCAAGCAAGATATCTGTATATGACACAAATTCATTCGTTAATTCATTCATTTTCCTTCAGCTTAGTCCCTTATTTATCAGGAATCACCACAGTGGAATGAACCGCCAATAATTCCGACATGTGTTTTACGCAAAGGATGCACCACCAGCTGTAACCAAGTACTGGGAAACACCCATACACACTCTTTCACACACACACACACACACACACACACACACACACACACACACACACACACACACACACACACACACACACACAAACACACACACACACACACACACACACACACACACACACACACACACACACACACTCATACACTACGGCCAATTTTGTTCACCGAGTTCACCGAGTGCATGTGTAAAACACGGGAAGAACATGCAAACTCCACACAGAAATGGCAACTGGCCCAGCCGGGACTCGAACCAGCGACGTTCTTTTGCAACTGATTTCTTTTATCTTTGCCATGATGACAGTAAGGCGAGGTAGTGGCGCAGTAGGTAGTGCTGTCGCCTCACAGCAAGAAGCTCGCTGGGTTGCTGGTTCAATCCTCGGCTCAGTTGTTTCTGTGTGGAGTTTGCATGTTCTCCCTGCATTCGCTTGTGTTTCCTCCTGGTGCTCCGGTTTCCCCCACAGTCCAAAAACATGCGGTACAGGTGAATTGGGTAGGCTAAATTGTCCTTAGTGTATGAGTGTGTGTGTGAATGTGTGTGTGGATCTCCCCCGGAAATGGGTTGTGGCTGGAAGGGCATCCGGTGCGTAAAAATGTGCTGGATAAGTTGGCGGTTCATTCCGCTGTGGAGACCCCGGATTAATAAAGAGATTAAGCCGACAAGAAAATGAATGAATGAATGAATGACAGTAAATAATATTTGACTAGATATTTTTTAAGACAGTAGTATTCAACTTAAAGTGCAATGTAAAGACTTATCTAGGTTAATTAGATTAACTATGCAGGTTAGGGTAATCAGGCAAGCCTGTGTATATCGTTCTGCAGACAATCTGAAAAAAAATAATGCTTAATAATATTGACCTTAAAAAATTAAGAAATGTTTTTATTCTAGCCAAAATAAAACAAATAAAACTTTCTCCAGAAGAAAAAATATTATCGTAAACACTGTGAAAACTTCCTTGCTCTGTTTAACATAATTTATAAAATATTTAAAAAAGAAGAGGAAAAAAAATCACAGGGGGACGAATCATTTGGACTTCAACTGTATGTTTTAAAGAAATCTCAACTCAAGACGTAAGATCTGAATGTGTGAAATGCATCTGAATCTGAGCAGTTCTTACCTTTAACAGTGATCTGCGCTGTGGTGTCGATCATGCCCAGTGATGATATGGCCACGCAGGTGTAGTTCCCCGACTGGCGGATGTTGGTGAGCTCCAGCACATTTCGGCCGATGGGCATCTCCTCTTCTTTGGTCAGCTCCTGTTCGCCCTTCATCCACTTCACATAGGGCATTGGAGCGCCCACTGCCACGCAGGTGAGGTTCACACTGCCACCCGGCATCACCTCGTGATTGGTTGGAGGGATTGAAAAACGTGGGGGAACCCGTCGGACTGTTGGAGGAGCGCAGATAATAATATAATAAGCAAAACACAGATAGAGGTAAAGGTTTTAGGAGTACCTCTGGATATTCACCAGTCATATCTGGGCTGTTTAATCATAATCAAACATATATGAGAAATATTAACAACAAATTAGATCTGACTACAATTTAATAATTAATCTGAAGAGACAAATGCCAAAGTAAATTAAAGGATTAGAGCTGAGAGCACTAAATATTCACCGTATATACAGGTCTGGTTCTGATGCATCTTAATGATGACTTTATTTTGGTTCTGTTGTTGTATTTTTTTATAGTCTTATTGAATGGCATGCTATGTATCCTTATATAGTTAAATTGAACATCTTTACATTTACACAGTATAATATGTATGCAATATGTACACTCAGCGGCCACTTTATTAGGTACACCTGCCCAACTGCTCGTGCTGCAAGTTTCCAATCAGCCAATCACACCACTGCAGCAACTCAATGCATTTAGGCATGTAGACATGGTCAAGACGATCTACTGCAAATCGAGCATTAGAATGGGGAATAAAGGGGATTTAAGTAACTTTGAACGTGGCATGGTTGTTGGTGCTAGACGGGCTGGTCTAAGAATTTCAGAAACTGCTGATCTACTGGGATTTACACGCACAACCATCTCTAGGTTTTACAGAAAATGCTCAGTAAAAGAGAAAACATCCAGTGAGCGGCAGTTCTGTGGGTGCAAATGCCTTGTTGACGTCAGAGGTCAGAGGAGAATGGCCAGACTGGTTCCAGCTGATAGAAAGGGAACAGTAACTCAAATAAGCACTCGTTACAACCGAGGTCTGCAGAAGAGCATCTCTGAACACACAACATGTCTAACCTTGAGGTGGATGGGCTACAGCAGCAGAAGACCACACCGGGTGCCGCTCCTGTCAGCTAAGAACAGGAAACTGAGGCTACACCAAAAGACTCACACAGGCTCACCAAAAGGGACCCAAGCTTGTACTAGTAAGGTGTATCTATTAAAGTGGCCTGTGAGTGTATAAAAAGTGCCGTTAAATGATTATTCATGATTAATCACGTCCAAGATAAAAGTTTGGGTCCCACTTTATATTAAGTTGCCTTAACTACTATATCCTTGCACTTAAAGTGCTCAAAATATATTGCAGAACACTTGAGGTGGGATACGTCTTGGGGTGTAAGGAATGGGTCAACAGTGAAATTATTATAAAATACAGAAATTAATTAAATATGTAATTATACATGCAGGTATGTAATCAAGCATCAGTACATGAATTTGCAGAATAAGTACATTGTAATGAATGATCATTTACAGTGTAAGTACAATTGAAGTCAGAATTACTAGCCCCCTCAGAATTATAAGCCCTCTGTGTATTTTTTCCCCAATTTCTGTTTAACGGAGAGCAGATTTTTGCAACACTTTTTAAAATCATAATAGTTTTAATAACTCATTTCTAATTACTGATTTATTTATCTTTGCCATGATGACAGAACATAATATTTTACTAGATGTTTGTCAAGTCACTTTTATACAGCTAAAAGTGACATTTAAAGGCTTAACTAGGTTAATTAGGTTAACTAGGCAGGTTAGGGTAATTAGGCAAGTTATTGTATAACGATGGTTTGTTCAGTAGACTATCAAAAATATGTAGCTTAAAGGGGCTAATAATTGATCTTAAAATGGTTTTTAAAAATTAAAAACTGCTTTTATTCTAGCCGAAATAAAACAAATAAGACTTTCTACAGAAGAAAAAATATTATCAGACACACTCTTAACATTTCTTTGCTTTGGTAAACATCATTTTTGAAAAAAAATTCAAAAAGAAGGGGTCCAATAATTTTGACTTCAATTGTATATATTTACTTATATTGAATTTGTATATCTTTGAAATGTTGTCAGAGGCTTTGTTGTAGTTTACATTGAAGTTTTATTTATTTATCTATCTATTTTTATGTATTATTTTTCTCTGTTTATTTTTTGTGAATATAAACATTAAGTAAATGTTATGTGTATACTACGTTTATATAAGTTTAACAAAAAAACTAACAAAAAACTATATATTTAAATATATTTAAAATATATTAAAATATATTTTTATATATAAATATTTTATACAATATAGTTATGCATATATTCATATACACAAAATTATACAAAGTACAGACAACTATATTTAGTAAATATGAACCTCTATATTGGATGTGATTAATCACAGTAATAAGTATTTCTCATTGATGTGACATAGTTTAGGGGTGTAATGCATATTTCCTTTATGGTTCATTAATATAAACAGGAGCCGAGAATTTTTTACCAAATTTATTTAAATTCAGTTATTTTGAAGTGTTTGTCTTTACCACTGATTGCATCCTTAATTATTAAATATAATAGCTAATTTGATTATGCATTCAGCCCTCCTATGTAAACATGATATATTTACAACATCTTTGCATATATATTTTTAGATAATGTCCATTTTGGAAATTCTTTTGGAAATGTTTTTATTTTATTTAACTTTCTATCTATTTATTTTGGCATAGAGCTGCATTCAACTGCATCTAACATTTTAGACTGTTCTAAATGTTTTGGTATGTAGCCAAAAGGCCAAACCATCCATTCTGCTGAATACACAACAAAATCACTGTGTATCTGCAGAGATCCCATAAACGAAGAACACTTTCTGTAGACTTCACAGGTAAGCAGTCTTCTGAGAGACGGCTAATAACCTGATCTTTTATAATGTCTCTCGGTATATGAGGTGGAATTGTTTTCAGATAGCAGATGGTTTAACAGGGGGCTCTGCTTTCACACGTCTGCTTATATTTCACCGATAAACAAGTCTCACTTCTCAGAGACTCCAACTCACTTCCAAATCTGAACATTACCTGCTCATTTCCTTCCATTGCCTGCTTGTTTTCCAGACTCGGGAAATGATTGTGGATAAATGAGGAAAGTATGAGGCCGAGGGATTACAAATGCTCAGTATTTATTTGACTTGAAGGCAGCTTTTGGAAAGGAAAGTTCTCCACCCAACCTCCAGCAATAAACTCTTTTGTCTTGCACGCACGTTGGAAATGCTTTAGTTGAGTACAATGTTAATTTCCCTCCATCATCAGGCGCATTGCAACAAACTTTACAATAGTGTTGAACTCAATCTAGCCAAATAAATCAGTCCAAATCAAACTAATCTGATAAATCTGTAATAGTCAAAAGTTGGTTAAAGTGTGCAGTCAGCAAAATAGCAGTAAGTTCTTCAAACACTGAAGTGTGAAATTTTTGTATGGATTTATTCTTATTATTTTAAAAAATATGGTCATGCACAGCATCCTCACACACTGAGTTTGATGGAAAGCAAGCAAACCTGCAAATAAATAGATAAATAAAATCAATAAATAAAACAATTAATCAATAAACCAAAAATTAATTAATAAATACGATGTATTTTTGGGACATTTTCATGATAATTAAACACTTTTATTAATAATCGTTTATATTTACTGTAATAAAATAAGATAAAAAAACAATAACAATCAATATTTTGAATCTAATCAAAATAAAGCAAATAAATAATTAAATAAATAAATAAATAAATAAATAAGTAAATAAAAATCAGTAAGTCAAACAATACATAATTAAATATATAAACAAACAATTAAATAAATAATAATAATAATAAGAAAAAGAAAAATATTTAAAAATGAAATAAAACAAACAAACAAACAAACAAACAAACAAACAAACAAATAAATAAATAAAAAAAAGTATTTTTGGACATATTCAAGATAATTAAACACGCAATAATAATAATAATAATAATAATAATAATAATAATAATAATAATAATAATAATAATAATAATAAATCTAATAAAAATTATAATACTACTACTACTAATAATAATAATAATAATAATACTGTAATAAATAAAATAAAATAAAATACAATACTTGAATCTCAAATCAAAATAAAGCAAATAAATAAATAAAAATAAATAAATAAAATAAACAATAAATAAATATATAATAAAAAGTATTTTTTAAACATTTTCAAGATAATTAAACGCATGCAAAAATAATAGTTTTTCATTTACTATAATAAAATAAAATAAAACAAAAAATAGTATAAAATAAAACAGTAGCTGAATCAAACCAAACTGTAGTACTGTAGTATGAAGTGATGCGAATAAAACTGTTAATCCATTTGTGACAAACTACAAGCTTTACATGTTTATATCAGTTTTATATCTTCTAAACGTGAATTTTGTCACTGTTTTGTTGCACAATAGCTTATAGATATATTAAAAACTAACAATACATATTATCCAGAAAACTATTTTAATTTCATGGGACCTTTAAAGGGAAATGTCACTCATATTAAATTCACCCATTGACTTCCATCATATTTTTTGTTCCTGTATGCATATCAATGGCTCAACATTCTTCAGAATATCTTGTTTTGTGTTTTGATGTTCATAAACGTATAAGCAGAACCACCTGAATATGAGTAAACAGTGAGGAAATGTTCCCATTAATGAATTGTTAAAAGTCTTGTGGCTACTTGACTTATGTACTATATAACTTTAGCCTCTGCCTATATATCTAACTTATTGCTGAAGCTTGGGTACAGTAAATCAATATTTATTACAACCCTTATTGACGCAAGTCAGGTAAACACTGAACACAATCTGATCTGTGCCGGTCATGGCTAGAGGCGGCCAGACTGATCATCATCATAGAGTTTGGACTTTGGGGATCGAGTTAAGTGTGTTAGTTTTAGCAGGAATAGCCCTGCAGGTGTAAGAGTGTGAGAGAAAACACCACATTAATCCACGTTAGTCACTGTACATGGAGAGGATGACGTTACCTATGGACATGAGGGATGGTCATGATGGCGCGAGTTAGAGTTTGTTAAGAAAGTTGGAGAAAGTCTCTGCTGGCTAGTAAAATGGAGTGATGGCAGCCTTCAAGACAGTCTTTAATAAAAAAAATAAAAAATAAAAATAAA